GTGAAGACAGCAAGTAGTCGACAACGGATGTCAGCTGGTGCAGGTCTATTTCCAAGTCGTATCTCAATGCGTGACAGCCTTTTGAGTCTACAGTTCACAGCATTCCAGGTCCATGTTTCTAGTTTTCTCTGCATCATACAGGGGCGGTCGGGTAGCCTAGTGGTTAAAGCGTTCGCTCGCCACGCAGAAGACCCGGGTTCGATTCCCGACATGGGTACAATGTGTGAAGCCCATTTCTTGTGTCCCCGCCGTGATATTGTTGGAATATTGCTAAAAGCGGCGTAAAACAATACTCACTCACTCTGCATCATACATTGCAAATTGAGTTCGAACCCCGGTTTATCCTGATCATGTTTCCAGTGTTGTCTCTGCCAACCTATGGTGATGGCTTTCACCAAACTCTTTAACGTCAAAGACCAGCAATATTTCTGGCCTTCCTCCAACATCAAGTTGACACGCCGTGATATAATTGGAATGCTGTTTACATTGCATGTGGATATTTGCACGATGCCCTGACATTTTCTGTCAAGTTTTACGTCGAGGGGAATGTCGAAATGACTCTCTGTCCTCCACTCCGAGACCCCGTTGAACGCCAGGGCCATTGGTTGTTACGGAATGAAGGGTTACGTGGTTAGATGTTCCTCTACTTGAAACATCCAGATTTTTGTTGTAACAAATAGTGATAAAATAAACCGCGACTCTCTGTAGTGTTGACGCTGTGGAAGTCGTCCTTGCGTGATGTAGAATATGTTCTTTTGTGTTGTTGCATATGGGATAAGTTCTGTCGCTTGTGATCTCTACAGTACATGGTACACGCTTTACAATTTCGCGGAATCCTAAACGCTAGCACGTTTTGAACTGTGGAGCCTGAGTGAGTGAGTACGGTTTTACGCCGCTTTTAGCAATATTCCAGCAATATCACGGCGGGGGACACCAGAAATGGGCTTCACACATTGTACCCATGTCGGGAATCGAACCCGGGTCTTCGGCGTGACGAGCGAACGCTTTTACCACTAGGCTACCCGACCGCCCCTATGGGGCCTGAACAAGGATTGGTTCTTTTCTTTTCAGTTTGTCCACGTCAATAGTTATCTATATCTTAAAAGGACGGCTTCCGTGGTCTAGTGGTGGAGCGGAAGGTCGTGTGTTCGATCTTCGGCCACGTCATACCAAAAGACGTTATAAGATGGAACTGGTTGTTTTCGTGTCTGGCTCTCGGCATTTAGGGGCTAAAACAAGGACTGGCTCGGAGTCAGTATGCTTTGTCTGAGTGGGGTATTCATGTTAAACTGCGACATGGAATCTCAGTGGGCTGGCACTATAAAATCGGCATCAGTCCGGACTAGTACAAGAGCACACACACACACACACATACACACACACACGTCGCTATATAAGTGAAATAATCTTTGACGCGACGTTAAAACCCATTTCACCTCGCCTATATTGTAACATGAATGTTTATGTTAATAGGATGTTACCCAACATTACTCATATTATGATCTAAGTCGTTAAATACTGTATAAATATTTGAAGATATTTATTAATTAATTTCACACCGTATTGTCATCCAACAAAAGTTGAAAACATCCACTTTAGTGTCGTAATAAAATATAGTTCCGCCCGTCCTGACAGGCATACATCAATGAAATATAAATAACATCAATAATTAACTGTCAAAACTAATGGACACTTTAAACAATACCATGATGCGTTTTGAATATGTGTTTAATGCAGAAAGAACATTCTCAAAAGCCTCCACACGCCTTGCCATCTGTCAGTCTTGACACAGACTGAATATTGATCGCAATACACAAGCACACCTCTGCACGTGCAGCATTCGAGGTCGCACGTGCAGCACGACATTGTTTACCCCAGTCTCACTTTTTCCGCCTCTCCATTCTTTGACTTCACAACCGAAAGCCACAAGACTGTGTAAGTTGAACTGTCGCCGAGTAGAGCTGGTGCGCGGAACGAATTGTGGTAGGAATAAGTTGTTTGCACTCGATCTCTTCGACCAGAAAATGATGTATTGGTGAATGTGATCCTTTACAAACGGTTGCCAGATCGCGTTTTTCCTGTAGATAGCATTTGGTCTTCAATAACGCAATGTGCTTTTTATCGGGTTATTTTATGAATGTCACTTTATGTGTAATACCAACAAGGACACATTGGTCTGTTACCGATCGGCGTATATCATTTAAAATTTAATATTTTCAGTAGCACTAATTTCCGCGGAATTGTTTCTGTAGAAATTGTTATCAGTGATATTTGAAAAGGGCCACTAAACAACTGCACTGATCGTAGAGAAATTGATTTGTTACCATCCTTAATTGTTTCAAACCGGATGGTGGACGTCAATTGATGTTTAAATAGTTACTTAGACTGTCATACTGTGAATCGATCTGCTTTAAATCCTGACGGGGGGCACGGGGGACCATGTCGTCTTAGGCGCCTCGATTCGCTGTGCAGAGTTGCGTCCCTTTGGCACGCCAGAAACCTTTGATTGTAGGTTCGCCCCGATTATGTTTCTAGGTATTTCATCACCATACCCGTGCTCGTGGGTTTCACCGAAGTGGTAAACGTCTGAGACCTACATCTCTTCGGGCTTTCCTCCCACATTAAGCTGACACGCCATGATATAACTGGAATAATGTTAAAAGCGGCGTTAAACCCAACTCACTCACTCATTAATCCCTGACATGATTGTTCACACAAACACGTTGACCTACATAACAAGGTTGTAATTGTTCCCACATTGACATGCCAAGGCCTCGAATAACAAAACCATTACATGTAAGCATCACTACTTTAATTGTTTGATCAACCCGTGAAGATCCGGGTTAGAAAAGGTCTGCAGCAATTCAAGCTTGCCGTAAAAGGAGACAATATAATCTCAGGAACAACTACAGTCTTTGATCCTTGGGACATTTGTCGTTATTTGTTTGTTGTTTAACGCCACACTCAGCAATATTACAGCCTTATGACGGCGAACTTTAAATAATCTAGTCTGGGACAGACAATCCAGTTCGCATCGATCACATGCGATGACATGCATCAACCAAGTTCGCAAGCCTGACCACCCGATCCCGTTAGTCGCATTTTACGACAAGCATAGTTGCCTTTTACGGCAACCATGGGTTGCTGAAGACCTATTCCACCCCGGATCTTCATGGGTTGGTTGGTTGGTTTGTTGTTTAACGTCGCACTCAGCAATATTCCAGCTATATGACGGCGGTCTGTAAGTTATCGACTCTGGACCAGACAATCCAGTGAATGACAACATAAACATTGAATGTCACACATTTGTCATGAAACGTGGTGACAGGTAATGTCATATCTCCATCTTCAGGTTTAGGGGGGGCACGGGTGGCCCAGTCGTCTAAGGCCCCGCGATTCGCTGTGCAGAGTTGCGTCCCTTGGGCACACCAGAAACCTATGATTGTGGGTTCGAATCCCGGTTCGCCCCGATTATGTTTCTAGGTTTGTCAGCACCATACCCGTGCTCGTGGGTTTCACCGAAGTGGTAAACGTCTGAGACCTGCATCACTTCGGGCTTTCCTCCCACATTAAGCTAACACGCCGCGATATAACTGGAATATTGTTAAAAGCGGCGTTAAACCCAACTCACTCACTCACTCAGGTTTAGGACAATTTGTCAAACATGAAAGCAACTGTCACCTGAAGTTCACTGAGAAAACGTTATGTGAAATGCTTGACTTACTCGTAGATACAATTTTTTGTCGTAGACCAAGGACGCATCCAGCATGGGTCCGCCTATGTAGACATGAGGAGTACATTTTCTAATTTGATGCATCCCTGATAAAATCATGTCTAATGCACTTCCCTATTTTGACTTGTAAAAAGATCCTATGTTCCCGTGTCGGTTCAGGTGAACATTTGACTTGCCTTTGCGTGCTTTTGAGACGGGTGCCAACAATGGGGCAGGATACGCGCATATATTTAAACTGAGAACAAGTGTTAGTTCATTTATTTCTTCATATTTGGAGTCATCTGAGGTGCGGCAATTCGCTTTTCAGTTTCACGTCCCTTATGCGTGCCGATCTTGTTACAATTTACAAGTTAAAGTGGGGCGGTCGGGTAGCCTAGTGGTTAAAGCGTTCGCATCACGCCGAAGACCCGGGTTCGATTCCCGACGTCGGTACAATGTGTGAAGCCCATTTCTGGTGTCCCCCGCGGTGATATTGCTGGAATATTGCTAAAAGCGGCGTAAAACCATACTCACTCACTGCAATTTAAAGTCATCGTGACCCGACGGGTGGATCGATGCTCTTTCTATCGACCAACACAACCAAGCGCACAGGGTTGCCCGCCAGAGACTCGGTTATTTACAAAAAGCTGTGAAAAAGCTGGAATATTGTTGCCTTTGGCGAAAAGGAGCATCAACATTTTTGTAGGCTTCTAAATTGCACGCAGTCCAGATCAGGTCCCTCGTTCCCCAATATGCATCTTCCACTTAATAAATAGCCTTGTTCCTCAGGACCTTTTCAAAACTCTTGGCCCACATCCCATCATCTATATCTCCAGGCCTCGTATTTCAGTATACCTACACCACAGAAACTTAAGATCTGTTAAACTTCCCGCCTACACTAACCCCTGAATCCATACCCATGTTTCTCGCGATCCGCCCGTAATTTTCCTCAGCGAATTTGATTTTCTACGCTACACATTGTAACGTACCAATCAGAATGTGAGTTACAAACCATATCAACAACATGACAATCCGAGTTATCTCCCTTACCCCTTTGTCGACGTTTGATTGGTCGGTAAAGTGTCAATGAAACTAGTTGTATCATGTCCTAACACGCGTGAAATTAATCAAGGGTTAGTTTGGTTTACCGAAATGCGAGCACCAGAGGATTGGGACATTTCTTGCTGGAGATTTGACTTTATCTTTTTTCTACTTCAAACAGCGGCAGAAGCTTATGTTTTATAAACATCAACGAAATTGAGTTTTTCCAACTATTTTATCGTTGCAGTGAGACGAGCATGCGGCGGTGATGGTGATAGTGATGATTATCATATTCCACTGATGCCCTGATCAGATGCGGACGCAGACGACATTAGTCAGATTTTGCCGATTCAGCCACTGAACTGATTATTCCAAAAAAAGACGTCATTTCACGTGTTTGTGGTGTCACAAATTGACGACCTTGTGATTAAGTACCGTGAGATATTGTTCAGTATTTTCTAATTTTCCAAAATGGCGTTACGGCTCTCCGGTTTGGCGCAGGTTCAGTTGTGGATTGGTATCACCATCGGACTTGTTGTCGCCTTTCTGGTCACCAGCATCAGCCGAGTAGCTCCAGTCACCAGCTTCGGGTTCAGTGCCGACCATCTGAACCCCAGACACATTGAACAATCCGTTAACACAATGCATGCCACGTCGGTGGATGGAGCGGCCGGTGCCCCGGTATCAAGTCCAAAGGGAGAGAATCTTCATGAAGAGTTTGAGAAACACGTGGAACAACATAAGGCCGGGAACGTCAAATTTGAAGATAAACACGTCCATCATGGTAGGTATTAAAAGCGAGTGCATGAATACCGTTTAAACAATGTTTGCAACTAAACCAGCGTATGTCCGTATGTAATCCTCTAGGCCAACTAAACCAGTGATTGATATGACCCCCCACGCTCTGGGCCAGTTAAACCAGTGATTGATATGACCCCTCAGGCTCCGGGCCAACTAAACCAGTGGTTGATATGACCCCCCCCCCCCCCCCCCCCCCCCCCACGCCCCACGCTCTGGGCCAGTTACCCCAGTGATTGATATGAACCCCTAGGCTACGGGCCAACTAAACCAGTGATTGATATGACCCCCAGGCTCCGGGCCAGTTAAACCAGTCATTGATATGACCCCCCAGGCTCCGGGCCAGTTAAACCAATGATTGATATAACCCCCCCGGCTCCGGGCCAACTAAACCAGTGATTTATATGACCCGCCTGCGCGCAATTGTTTCAACAAAATACTGGAGGGAAATATATTTAACACAGATTCTAACCGGTAAATAAATTGTACAATATATTCTAAAGAAATGGGTGCTTTGTTCTGAATATGTCTATTGCTGACTAGCCAAGCGGTGAGGGACGAAATATTCTGTCAAGAACAAAACTCATGGTCTAATCTCCGTGTTCCGTTTACATGTACTTATGACATGGCCAAGACTCGGCAACGCACGCAACATGTCGTGTCAAGATAAGAAGCCGCTCAATAGTTTCAGATGTATCGATATACAGTTGCCGATAATTATCCTCACTTTGAGACAATGTTTTGGCAGGCGGTATCATGAATGTGCATAGGTTTTCGAGTTTGTATTATGTATTATTATCGGACAATACCCAGTTTAACCAAAGATATTGCCCGACGAACGGCTTGATATCAAAGGTTATCGTATTTTCTAGTAAAGTGCGCACCCAAGTATAATGCTTCAGGTGATTAAATATTTTTGAAAAAATCAAATTCCAGTATTATGCGTGAAAACAATTATATCGTATCCCCCGGCGAATACAGGTTAATGAACAGCTGATAAAAAACCTGGTGAATACAAATTTTTAAATTGAGATAACACTTCACTGGATATGGGTATGCTTTTTCCTGTGATAAATATGCAAACAAGTCAAGGCTGAAATGGGGACACGTGACGCCAAGTCACCGAAGCCACCGCAACCCTAGGCGTTGCGGAAATCTGTGATCGCGGGTTCTAATTTCGAATTCGCCCTGATTGCCTTTCCAGGTTTGTCAGTCCCATGCCCGTGCTCTTGTGTTTCAACATAGTGTTAACGACAAACATCAGGATTATATCGGGCTTTCTTCTCGCATAAAGCTGACGCACTGTGATCTGAGGTGTCAATGCAGCGCTAGGGAGCACGAATGTGCAGAGTTGCGTCCCTTTAGCAAACCAGAAACGTATGATCCTGGTTTCGAATCCCGGTTCGCCCCGATCATGTTTCTTGATTTGTCATTACCAAACCGGTGCTCGTGGGGTTCACGGAAGTGCCAAGGACCTGCATTACTTCGGTTTTTCCTCCTTCATTTAGCTGGCACGCCCTGATATGACTGGAATACTGCTCAGTGGTCAGCCAGGTGACTTAAGTGATCATCGAGGCTCACACAATCTCAGCCCACGAGATTGCGTCAGCGTCTCATCGTACCCCCCACGACCCCCTCCTTCCCAATCGGATTGATCGAGGCTCAAATTGGCGTCGACCACCTCCGTGCACTGGTCTTGTCGACACAGCGTCTGTCCCGAAATTGTGTTCGATCCCCGTCGGCGTCATGCCAAAAGCTGTTAAAAGATGTTGTTACCCTGCCTGAGATTGTGTTTGAAGAGGACATGGACATAGAGGAAGATAAGGCTGAGGAGACAATCCAGATTACTTCCCCAACACCAATCCTGGTGAAAGAACTGAAATCATATGTGTCTGATGTATTAAGAAGGTCTATAGTACTTGAACCCTGCCACTTCTTCAGATGGAATGTATTCCCTTGATGAAAGAACATTGGGCGTTCTGTCCCAGGCTCGGACCCACTGACCCCAAGCACGGAGGCATGACAATCTAAATGACGTCACGCTATAGACAGATCAACGGTTACACATTCAAACATCGGTCTTATAAGTATCAAAATCTGTAGAATAGTATGTATGAAATTCCTTTGAAATAGTGAGGAAGCAATGTTGTCAGTTATTTTATGTTTACATTAGTTGCATTGGTAAAGGAGAATTGTTTTGTTACTGGAAACAGTGATGAACTAGGTCACGTCGCCAGACGGTATACAATGAAGGCAGTCAGCTGTATACACGGGTTAACATAAAAACACAAGTACGTTTGGCATTGAATGTAGCCCAGGCCCGTCTCTGTAGTTTTGATAGGCTATGTAGTGGATAAATATATAAGCTCTATTTACATCGTGTAGGCTTCATTTCACGTGTAACCATGCCTGCTGACGGATGGAAAGCATATTTGTCTAGTATTTATTTGAATCCCAAACACCCAGCCTCCTTTTCTGGCCCTGCTAAGTTGTTTCACATTGCGAAAAAGGAGGGGAAATTTGATATTAGTTTGCATCACATAAAGAAGTGGTTGACATACCGAGATGCCTATTCGCTTCAGCGACCTTTTATAAGATACAAGCTCAAGCGGAACAGAGTGGTGGCTTCAGGCCTCAATGCTCGATGGGACATTGACTTGGCTGATATAGCCTCGGACAATGACGTTGGGAAATACTTACTCATAGCTATAAATGTATTTACACGCCCCTTAAAAATAAAACACTGGATGCGGTCATTAAGGCCTTGATCTCGTCCGGGATTATAACCACAGACCTCACAGATCATTGAATGAAAGATCACCCTCGGATATTAATCTGACTAATGAAGCTTTAGTATGGAAGGAACAATACATTGACACTTTGATAAAGCCAGTCAAATCAAAGGCTGAAATCAAACAGAAGTCAATGAAGAAACCCTTTAAATTTAAAGTGGGCGATCAAGTGAGACTCTCATTTGAGACATCAATTTCAAAGAGACTATCAAGAAAAATGGACTGAGGAAATCTTTATTATCAGAAGAAGGTTCTATCGTGATGGTATGCCTATCTATATGTTGAAAGATATGGCTGATGATCTAGTTCAAGGTAGTTTCTATGCAAATGAGAGTAGAGAGTAGACAAGCCCGCAGACACAGCTGACTTGGTTGATGCATGTCATCGTATCCCAACTGCATGGATCGATTCTCATGATGTCAATCACTGAATTGTCTGGTGCAGACTCGATTATCTACTGACTGCCGTTATATATCTGGAATATTGCTGAGTGTGTCGTTAAACAGACAAACATAATTTATTGCTACTTCACTTCTGTTATTAATCAGTTTTAATCGATGCAGCTACATTTACTATAGTAATTATCAGCGGTTAAGAAGGAACATACTTATGAATTGGTTCGTTATCGTCTAGTGGGCCAGCCAAACTCACAAATTCAAGGAGAGCCAACTGTAGGACGTGTATGTTGGTGAAATTTACTGAGAATCCTTCATGTTGAGTGATGCAATTCAAAGGTTTCTCTCTCACCCCAGCATAAAAGTGGCAACATTTCGACTCGGGTCGGGATGACATAGGCATACAGTTGCCACAGTCACACCTATCAACAAAATTATGATATAGCTAATAATACATAAATAAATGCAAACCTATCAATTTCTTTATGGTACAGTTCCCTAAAAATAAAAGTATTTCACGTATTTCTTATTTATGGCACACTTTTAAAATTCACACTATAAAAATTCATAATTATTTAACATGTCATGTATTCCATTTTTGAAAATTTATATTCCACAATAACTATCACAACAGCTTACCAATAGCTTTGGAAATTGAATGTGTTATAAAACTGAACTTCGATGCACCGGTAACATTGATAATGTTACACTAACGAATTTAGGGTACTGTGCTAGTACGTGTATTGACTGACGTACGTAATGGTATTTCACAGAAAGGTTGATCCCCATAATCGATCCTTCTGTTGGGTATATTTAGCCAGAAGAAGTTTTATAACACATTTAATAATTAAGGTGAAAAGTCTGACATATTATTTTGAACCGATTAACTTGTAACTCGCGATTTGAGCATTTACTGTCACATATATATAGGCGTGGCTTCGCATATTATTATTGGTCTAACATTGCGGTAATTGTGACTACACATTTTACCGTGACAGCTGAAAGATTGATTCCATATTTAATCTGTTTTCCTGAATATATGGCACGCTAATTACTAGCATACCAGTCTGTGTGAGGCCTATTCAAAACATCGTCGAGATCGGGATCGTCACTGTTTTCTTGTGAACTGCTGGAATCGTCGTCAGTATTCTGGTCGTTCTTGCTGCCAGAAATAGGTTCAAATTGAAAAGGTTGTACTTCTATGTCAGTATCTGTATGGGGTAGACCTTCCAAATCCATTTTTGACCTTGTGGGTCGAATTATGGGTGAAGATAAAAGAAGATTTCCGAGAGCGATTCGGCGCGGCACCGTTGCGCAACTTGTGTGTTTTGATGCTACAACTGTCCGGTATGACGTCACACGATCACGTGACTGGCTACCTCATTATCTTACGTAATCGCCAAATGCTTTCGATGATCGTCCGTTTTAGATTGCAAATTCAAGCTATATAACGAAGTGTTACTGTTTCAAACTGCCTTGAGTGTGTAACATATATACCTAAGTATTCATTAATAGTGAATATAAAGCATGTGTAAAAACCTTTTAAAAAATCCTTTAAGGCGTCCGCTCGTCACGCCGAAGACCCGGGTTCGATTCCCGACATGGGTACTATGTGTGAAGCACGTTTCTGGTGTCCCCCGCCGTGATATTGCTGGAATATTGCTGGAATATTGCTAAAACGGCGTAAAACCATACTCACTCACTCTGGATCAACCCAAATCCTCCCTGGACCAACCATTTGCTAGGATTGTCCGGATCCTCCTTTCAAAGATAGCGGATGTATGTCTTGAAGCTGTTGCCGAAAGATATGTTACCGTATATCTTCTGTTATTCTGATGGTACACCATAGATAGCATTTATTGGAACACCAATTAATCAAGTTGTTTTATTACTCTTCAAAATGTTTATGTATTCTAATCGATCATATCTATTTGAGGACATGTTAGAAATAAATTCACGTCAAACACCTCTCATCATTTTAAACTGATATTAATTATTTTTAATAACATATAGATAGTCTAGATCTGTACTTCCTCGTTGCTACTATCTCTCGCAAGTGGGGGGGTGGGGGTTGGGGGGGTTGGGGGTGTGATGATGATAGCCCCATGCCTTGGCAAGGGACGTACAACATTCATTCAAGAAATAACCTGTAATTCCCCGTTGCTCGTTGGTAAGAAATTACATTTAAAACTTAAAACGTATTAATTGTCAACCCTCTGGTGAATCACCAGCTTTGTTTAGATGAAGTAGTGTGATCAATTTGTGACGGCGTGAATAATGAACATGACATCACATCGTTTTTCAAAAAGTAATTACGTCATGTCGCGTCATCTGACCAATCGGCTTTGGGAATGACTAAAATGGAAGTTATTACTCTAAGATAGGTCCTCCTTTATCGGTGATATTGAATGGATACCCTACTACACATTAAATTGTTCAGGTCGTGATAGCAGTCGGTTGTCAACTAAACAAACGCGTTCTTCTCGACACATTAAATATGACAAATACTGACAGCGTCTGACATTGCCGTAGATCTGTCAGTCTATCTGTCTATCTATTTGTCAACCCCTTTCTTGAAGCAGAATGTACAACATTATCTTTCGCGCGAAGTCCTTGCAGTTATTTTGCCTATTCTTTGTAGCACAAAAGCGGCGTCAATGCATCTGCGTCGCGATTTGTCCCCTTCTATTCACACCCACATTTATATAGGTGTGTAATCAGTATATGGTTGACCTGGCGTGTCTGCGTCAATCAGAATTTGATTGACTGAATTGATGGCTGTTTGGCCTCTCGTTGCCAATTCAAAGTGGTCTGCACGTAGTATTTCTTAACGCTTTGTGTCAAGAATACACCTCAATAGTGAATCTATACAATTCTGCAATTCCGCTGTGCAGCTGAATACCCTACAGTACCTAGAACCTATAACCTAGAGTTTGTAAAATAACACGTCAACAGCCGAGGAGACAGGTTGTGAACTCTATCTCTAGTAGAATTGTTTTACGTGTTTTAATGGTCTCTTCCTCCAGAAGATATGATTGAAAACCATCGGAAAACAATTCGCGTTTTGTTATCATTATTTCTATATACATGTGCTACAACCCACAAAATATAGGGGGCACGGGTGGCCCAGTCGTCTAAGGCGCCGCGATTCGCTGTGCAGAGTTGCGTCCCTTGGGCACGCCAGAAACCTATGGTTGTGGGTTCGAATCCTGGTTCGCCCTGATTATGTTTCTAGGTTTGTCAGCACCATGCCCCAGCTCGTGGGTTTTACCGAAGTGGTAAATGAGACCTGCATCACTTCGGGCTTTCCTCCCACATTAAGCTGACAAGCCGTGATATAACTGGAATACTGTTAAAAGCGGCGTTAAACCCAATTCACTCACTCACAAAATATAACCATCTTTGGATGATAAATCAAACTGGCCGTACACTACACTTGTTGAGCGATGAAATCATTATTTCACATACGGCGCGTTGAAATATTGACAGTTGCCATTGATACCACAAGGGTCACAGAAACCCCCATGAAACCCCAAAAGGTCGTAAATGGCGACTAACGGGATCGGGTGGTCAGGCTCGCTGACTTGGTTGATGCATGTCATCGTATCCCAATTGCGTTGATCGATGCTCATGATGTCGAACCCAGGATTTTCTGATCCATTATCGATCGATTATTTACGGACCGCCGTCATAAGGCTGGAATAATAGTGAGTGCTGCGTTAAACAACAACAAAGTTGTATCACGGAAAGATAAATATATCCTCTCCAAAACTGGTGTAGATACAACGCTATGCAAAGTTATAGTCAGCACTACAATATTGAAAACCAAACTTTACTTGTTTGAAAAATACACTAAAATGTTGGTGTCACAGGAACTTTTGTTGTTGAGTATATTAAAATAGTATCTCAACGCTACGATAGTAATACGAGTGATCGAGTCAAAATGTCCCTAAGAGTCAGCCTGATACACACTCCCTCTAGTAGGAATTTACTTCTGCTTCTTGACCCGTGAAGATTCCGGGGTAGAATAGGTCTTCAGCAACCCATGCTTGCCGTATAAGGCGACTAACGGGATCGGGTGGTCAGGCTCGCTGACTTGGTTGATACATGTCATCGGTCCCAATTGCGTGGCTCGATGCTCATGATATTAATCACTGTATTGTCTGGTCCAGACTCGATTATTTACAGACCGCGTCATATAGCTGGAATATTGCTGAGTGCGGCGTTAAACAACAAACAAACAAACAAAACAAAACTTCTGCTTCTTTAGTATAGCTTGTTCCAGCATGAGTTGCCGAAGACCCGGGTTCGATTCCCGACATGGGTACAATGTGTGAAGCCCATTTCTGGTGTCCCCCGCCGTGATATTGCTGGAATATTGCTAAAAGCGGCGTAAAACCATACTCACTCACTCACTCACTCACTCCAGCATGAGTTCGAGGTTCCAAACTCACACTCGTCTCACAAGATTTGGGGCTGTCGTGAATATTGATGCAGGTCTTGATATGGTCGACTCCAGCTTGAAATGATAGTTATTCTCCCCCTAACGATTTAAAAAAAATATTTATTATGTTTTTCTCAGATGATGACGCACTCGCCAAGTCCCTATTTGAGAAGGAGCGCGTGTTGTGCTGGATAATGACGTCACCACAGAACCTTGAGACGAAGGCACGTGTCGTACGTGATACGTGGGCTAAGCGTTGCAACAAGGTTATTTTCATCAGCTCTACAACAGATCCCAAGTTTCCAACAGTTGGCTTGAATGTCGCTGAAGGTCGAGAACATTTGACAGCCAAAACCATGCAAGCCTTTCGGATTATCTACGAGAAACATATAAACGAAGCTGATTGGTTCATGAAGGCTGACGATGATACCTATGTTATTTTAGAGAACCTCCGGTACTTCTTAACGTCACAGAAGAAGACGGAACCTGTATATTTTGGCCACCATTTTAAGACAATCGTGAAACAAGGGTACTACAGCGGCGGAGGGGGGTATGTGCTGAGTAGGGAGGCGTTGAAAAGATATGGGGAGAAAGGTCATGACCCCAGCATATGTCGACAAGATGGCGGCGCGGAGGACGCAGAGTTCGGCAAATGTATGGAGAAATTGGGGGTGAGGACAGTCAACTCTACAGATGCCCTGGGGAGGAGCAGGTTCCACTGTTTTGACCCCGAGACACACCTGTTTGGTGGCTACCCAGATTGGTATTACAAATACGATGCTAACGGTGCCCAGAAGGTAAGCACATATTTATCATTACAAACATTTAGAATATATGAAGTTCTATTTTTGTCAAATAATGAAGTAAAGGGACCGCCCATTTATTAAAGGGAGGAGGGTGGGCTGGAGGTCATGGAAACAAAACGTTACATGTATTTATTTATTTATTTTTTAAAAAAAATAATTTTTTTTTATTTTTTTTGGGGGGGGTAAACATGTTTCAGAAAATCCTCAGACAATGTCACACCCCCAAAAAATAATATATTTCAGTCGTTCTACAGCTTGACTGCAAACATTTGTCCATTATTTTATTAATTAAGAGTGCGTAGGGTTTTACGCCGCTTTCAGCAATATTCCAGTAAATATCACGTCGGGGGACACCAGAAAATGGGCTTCACATTACACCCATGTAGGGAATCGAACCCTGGTCTTCGGCGCGACTAGGGAACACTTTAACCACAAGGCTACCCCACCGCTCAAAATTATTATGAAGTTCGAATCGGCTTTTAAGCATCAAAAAGGACAAATGATGCTTGGATAAGAAGCCCAAAACTACAAAGAAGGATCACGTGTTCTTTCGTTTTCTTTTAATCCCGCCATCTTTAGCCACTGGGTGATGAAATTTAACATCAAAATGATTTTAAGTGAAAATTTCAGTAATTTTACACATTGACTGTAACACCTATGGAGTGTGACGATAGATGCACTTGAGCATGAATCCTGTTCATAACAAAATTTAAATAAAATGTTTGTTTACAAATGACCAGGGAAGATCAATATCGTTAGTACACGGCTTATACACTGTACGCGCAGACAGGGTCGTGTCGAATTGATCTTCCAACACACGTCTTTGTCAAACGTGTCGGCCAATACACATCGTCGTCAAGTCGATGTCATCTGAAATACTGTCGTCACAGCAACTGGCAACTGCAAATGTCACGATGTTAACGCCAGCTGAGACGATGACACCGAAGTGATTGAGTGCAGGGTGGGATAATATAAACGAATCGAGTGCTTCTGTGGAGAAGGTAGTACTTGACTTAAGCTGTTTGTCCTGTTGCCAGATTCGTGGTCACGCAGACATTGATCTGTATACATATACCATGATTTGAGTGCATGCCACGTACACATGTATCGTCGTCTCCAGCGACGTCCGGGGGGCACGGGTGGCCCAGTCGTCTAAGGCGCCGCGATTCGCTGTGCAGAGTTGCGTCCCTTGGGCACGCCAGAAACCAATGATTGTGGGTTCAAATCCCGGTTCGCCCCAATTATGTTTCTAGGTTTGTCAGCACCATACCCGTGCTCGTGGGTTTCACCGAAGTGGTAAACGTCTGAGACCTGCATCACTTCGGGCTTTCCTCCCACATTAAGCTTACACGCCGTGATATAACTGGAATACTGTTAAAAACGGCGTTAAACCAAACTCACTCACTCACTCACTCACTCACTCACTCCAACGACGTCCGAGTGGTCCCCGTGGGGGATGCCGGGTTAGAATGTCCCCATCAACCTATTCCTGGTAATGGATCAGGATGTCAGGCTCCGTGACTTGGTTGGCAATGTCGTACTCCGGCGTGGATCGTTGAGCATAATATCAAACACTGGATTGTCTGGTCCTTACTCGATTACTAACAGACCGCCGTCATTTAGGTGGCATATTGTTGTGTGCGGCATTAAACAACAGATTAACAAGCAACCAATCATTCGAAACGTCCTTGGGGAACGGTGGACACGAAGCCTTCGCGCAACAGTTTGTTGTGCGTACCAGGTTCCTGTGATCGGAAGTTCGGATCCTCGATTCTTCGTCTTGATCTGGTTGGAAGCTCCATTCCTTACCCCACCCAACACCGTGCTCATCTAAGTGGTAAACTGCGTCACTTCGGATTGCCCCCCGAACAAAGACGTCGTGATGTCACTGAAATATTGCTAAAATTTACACACACGCACCAAAGTATGTAACTTACATATAATCAATCGGACCTCTTCCTTGTCTATTGCTCTGGGTAGAATGTCTGTCCGGAGTTTTGGTTCCATTCCAGGGCGCGTCATTCCAAACGGTGTTAAAAGATGGTATTTGTTGTTTCCCTGCCTTGAGCTAGGCATTAGAGCGATAGAACCTGGAATGGTTCCGAGCCGGTGGACTAATATGGGTTAATGTCCATGTTAAATGACGTCATAGTGTTGATGATAGCGATGTTAGTGATTTGACGAGCGCTTCCAGGTGTGCGTCATGGTGTAACAGTGGGCTGGAACTAAAAAACCGACATGCGTCCGGACTTGTTCAAGCAGCCACTGGCATATTACTGGAGTACTGTTCAAAGCGGTGTTAAACCCAACTCACTCATTCACCCCACCTGACCGCCTCCGTGGTCTAGTGGTAGAGCGTCCGCCCGGAGAGCGGAAGGTCCGGGGTTCGATCCCCTGCCGCGTCATACAAAAAGACGTTTAAAGATGGTATTGTTGTTACCCTGTCTGGCGCTCGGCATTAAGGGGCTAAAATGAGGACTGGTCGGCTCGGAGTCAGTATACTGTGTCTGTGTGGGGTATTCATGTTAAACTGCGGCATGGTATCTCAGTGAGCTAGCACTATAATCGGCATCAGTCCGGACTAGTACAAGCAGCCACACAAACACACACACGTACGTGCACGTCGCTATATAAGTGCAATAATCTTGGACGCGACGTTAAACCCCATTTCACCTCACCTCACCTCATCATTCACCCCACCCCAACCCACCCCACCTTTATGGCCATGATTGGTTATGTTTTGTTGCCATGGCAAGCACAGCTTTATTATAATAACAGTTTCCTTCAAAGTTATGGTAATTATTTCAGGGCACAGAGAGCATCTCCGACTACGCCATAACCTTCCACTACGTGCCCCCACAGAAGATGTACGCCCTGGAGTTTTACATCTATCACTTACGACCGTATGGCATTGTGTCCGGAACCCAGGAACTCAACAGACAAGCGGATGTGAAACCCGGAACTCAGGAGGTCAACATACATGCGTAGTGGCACCCGGAACTCAAGAGTTCACCAGACATGCGTAGTGACATGAGATATTTACTGTGTTCTGTGGAATAGGTCGAAAGCAATCACACTGTTCGTTGTACCCGGCATTATCATCTACAGCAATTTGGTTCATGGATGTTCGATCATGGTACAAGTCTGTAATTGCTAGCTTCAACATACACATAGGTTGTGCAAGTGTGAAAGACAATAGACTGAGTACAGCTTACATGAAGGAGTTTGCTCAACAACCAAAGCAATAAAACTAGTCACATGTCGGAAACTATTGGACATTAAGTACACCATAACGTTCTGTGAGATCTGGCTTTGATTGGCATGAGGCGACTAACGGGATCGGGTGGTCTTGGTTGATGCATATCATCACATCCAATTGCGTGGATCGATGCTCATGATGGCAATAACTGGATTGTCTGGTCCAGACACGATTATTATATAACTGGAATATTACTGAGTGTCGTGTTAAGCAACAAATAAACAAATCTGTTTGGTAGTCGATGAGTGAACTGGTCAGTGCTGGACTGGCTGTTGATGGTGTTTGGCTATCTGATTTTCGGACTCGGTCTTGTCCCGACAACGTCTGTGTGACTTTCAAAGCCATTTCAACATTTTCCAGATAATGCTGAACTCTGGTGATCCGACACTGGGTTTATCAGTGTGTGATCGAGCCTAGCCTAGTGCGTAACCCGTGACGTCATGTCTGTGCCTTCTGTTCAGGAAAATATATCGATGTATTTATTTTCTATATTGTCTCTTTGGGTGTACTTAAGGGCCTGTTAAACACTCGAGAGTTGTGGCTTAGCAATGGGCTACACACGCAGGACATGCTGCAGTGCATTTTCACATATACAGGCACAGGGCTGTGTCCCTCGTTGGTGTTAACCACGATATTGCGCTTCAGAGAATCAATCACGGTCACACCTTATTTCCTCTATTAGACGCTCTATCGTCTATTAATTTCGCACAGGGGGCACGGGTGGCCCAGTCGTCTAAGGCGCCGCGATTCGCTGTGCAGAGTTGCGTCCCTTGGGCACGCCAGAAACCTATGATTGTGGGTTCGAATCCCGGTTCGCCCCGATTATGTTTCTAGGTTTGTCAGCACCATACCCGTGCTCGTGGGTTTCACCGAAGTGGTAAACGTCTGAGACCTGCATCACTTCGGGCTTTCCTCCCACATTAAGCTGACACGCCGTGATATAACTGGAATACTGTTAAAAGCGGCGTTAAACCCAACTCACTCACTCACTCACTCACTCACTCACTAATTTCGCACAAGCCGTTGTCACGGCGCCTTTTTAATTCTGTTTAAATCTGACACAGTGGTAACTCACTTCCTTACCAAATCCCAAATTCTACTGTCACACACAGGGTACATTTGCAGGACACGGTCATCATCAACCACCAACATATCACATAATAAATTATGAACTGTTATCCTGGGACCCGACGTCACGTCGTGTGTTGAAATAGAGGAAAGTCGGTATTTTCACTAAAACAATCCAAATACACTTGCAGTAAGTAGATTTACATGTACAGTAAAGTACGGTTATAACGAACTCAAAGGGACTTCTAATTTTAGTTCGTTATAACCGTAGTTCGTTATAAGCATATATACAGCATAACTACAGCAAATAGTCGGGACCAAATAAGTAGTTCGTTATATCCGACAGTTCGTTATAAGCGTGTTCGTTATAACCGTAGTTTACTGTATTGTTATTGTTAGAGAGACACCCTGTCACGTCAGTGGTTGCCACGCTATACCAGCGGGAGTGGTGTTATGTAGATGCAGCTGAGAGTGAGATGGGACCAACATTGCGTTATAGATTACTGCACATATGTTGCGACTTGTGACGTTGGGATTGACTATGGCGATATTAACATTTAATTACTGTAAATCTCAAACATTTGTTTGAAAATATGCAGATGTATGGTGCCGGGTAAAGGGGGAATATTTATTTGAGTATGAAGTCGTGACAAATTAATGACGTCATTGCATCCATGCGCTAATAATGACACTCATTTCACACAACATTTCACACAAATCTGCCAATGGAACTTTCTGAGCGGTGTTTCAGCTTCCGCCTGGGTGCATACGTAGATTTATCAAATCCTATTTCCAGTATAAATTTTATTAATAATGACATGTTCCCATCATCCTCAAAATTTCCTGGGCTCGCATTTCGGTAAAACCAAACTAGCCCCCGGATCCATTACCGTGGTTCTCGCGATCTCAAATTAGCCGCCCTTGATTTTGAAACCCCCTGGGCATTTGCTATTTTTTAGCAACATTTCAAATTATTACTTCTTGCATTTTCTTAGTTAGCTTGTTGAATGTCAGACATTATTTACATAATTATTTCATTCATGTAAAATGGAGCGACAGTTGTTTGTGTATTAAATTGTCGCACTTATTATTCAAACAATTTTGAGGCTCTTCCTTTCCCGATTATTAAAACAATACTGCCTTCACAGGGAGAGGAGAGAATTATCAGCTGATCAGATAATAATCTGAAAACGGCGGACTGAACGAGATAAATGAAATTTAGATTGAACAAAAAAAAGTGAGGGATCATTAATATCTTAAAAATATTTTTATGGAATTCTGTGCCCAGTCTTCACTATGGCCAAATATCCCCCAAGATATTCGTGATCCCTAAGTTATTTTTGTTCTGTACATATTCCAAAGTGATATCACTTCAGGGAAATGATAGCAGTTGCGCGTACTCATGTCATAAAACATTATTGGTGTGATTGTTTAACGAGAGTTTAGTGATGGAATCAATTGAATGAATTTACAAATGTATGTTAATTGTTTATTTTGTTATTCTGAAATAAAATCAGGTAATAATTTGGGCCAATTGTGCTTTTTTATACCAACGTAAATTAGTATTAATAAATGTATATAATATTCAAAAATACATATTGACAATGCAGTTGCCATAAACACATGTAGACGTCGCCAATAGAGATATTTCATATCTTAAGAAATATGCATTATAATCACGTAGATTGTGATACTCATGCCTCGATCGGGTAGTTCAGTGACTGTTACCATGAGCAAATATTTTACGCTGCCGGGATACGGTGACACGAAGTCAACCATGACACCAATTCTGACCACCCCATCCATTAGGTCGCCCAGTTCGAGGAGAATAGGTTGCTGGGAACCAATGCGTACTCTGAATCTCCACGGAGAGGAATGTATGGGGCACTCATGATAACTGTCAAAAGAAGAGTCGGTCTTGGTCTTCCCTGTGCATTGTAGCATCCCTCTGCCATTTACAGATGCGCCAATCGAGGTTCGAATCCCAGAATTGCCCCAATTAGGACCCTCGTTCTCTCAGTGTACCTGTTGTTGGTTTATCTTTGACTTCCAAATTTGACGCATTAGTAACAAACATGATTTCCGATGCAATTCCATATTTTAATTTGAGCTATATGTTCCAAGTGTTTTTCAGGTGGGAAAAGTACTCGCCTTTGCATGTGTTTATGATGGGGTGATGGGTGTTTATGATGGGGTAGGATACGCTCTCCTTTTCATAAACACATGGTATGATCGCTATTAGATTTTGATTCATAAACACATGCTTAATATATAGTCGGAATCTTACAGTGGACTATACAAAGATAAGGAATTTATTTTTTCGCTTTCCTAATTACAACAAATAGAGAGTAAAAGTCCGACGATCATTGCTGAAGAAACGCTGCTGTGAAAATATATGTCGCTTCTAGGAGTGAACGGCCGGTATCGTCTGGTAACAAAGGTATAAGTGTCGTCTGTTTGCACTTCTGGTTTTAACCGGAAGTGTTTTCAGAGCGAGACTATTAAGAAAGTCAGGGTAAATCAGACATCGTGGTAACCCCACTCACAGGATTAGCTGAATGTACATCTCGGGGAAAGTTATTTGAACATATGTATTCCAATTGGGCATCAGATTTGTTCTTATCTTGTATTATTACCCTTGAACACCGAAGGTAGCCAGAAACGCCACTTTGCACTCTCCGTTTCCTGAAGCTTTGGCGGAGGGCGATTCCTTTGTTACACATCGCAAAATCACGAGACACGTGGGACCAACATCAGTCGTGACCAGCTGGAGTCATTCAGGAGTCTTCTTACAGTTTGCGGAAAGGGAGTGGTGATGAATGATATACATGAGGCGAGCGGAGCGTTATGCTCGCTCACCGGAAGACAATAATTAAGTGATGCTCCATTTGAAGCCGACTCGTTACGTCCTGACGTTCCGGAAAGCCTGCTTGGTTGAGATACTGAAGTTAAAACACATCTGTGACGTCATTCTATTGTTTGAACGCTCCATTATTTTTCAGGAATGGAGAGTTGCTTGTCAACTGTACATTATCTTGAAGCAGCATTTGAATTTTTCAAATATTTTCAACTACAGAATATTTTGTCAAAGTGTAAAAGTAGGGATGAGTTTTAAGTAGGGGAATATCCTCGTAACTCTCCATTCCTTAAAAATAATGGGCCTCGGCCCCTGCGGGGCCTCTGCTCCATTATTTTTAAGGAATGGAGAGTTACTCGGATATTCCCGTATACATAACAACAATGATACTGAAGTTTACAACAATGACTTGAATTCTGATATTCAGCGTCAATCTTTCACGGCGGAGCAAATTTCACAGAACGTGGTCATTGTGAGACATTTTACGCGCGCTTTAAATGGATGTGCGTCTCAGACCTCATACAGAAATACCAGCCAATTCTTTCACTGAGAACAAAACATGTTTATCTTGATGCCTTCCAGGACCAAGACATCTGGTGACAGGACCTTCCCAACAGCAGGCCCATATATGTGGAATAATCTACCTTTGCAACTTCAGGTGGTCAAGCTCGCTGACTTGGGTGATGCATGTGATCGTATCTAAATTGCGTGGCTCGATGATATTTACAGACCGCCGTCATATAGCTGGATTATTGCCGAGTGCGGTTTTAAACAACAAACAAACAAACGAAACATTCGCTCAATTCAGGAACTTGCAACCTTTAAGAATCCACTGAAAAAACTCTATGAAGTGTAGATACTTAATCGATTTTTCTGTCATAACATTATTCAGACTCAAAGCAATTTACTAGGTATTAGAGCTGTTTAATATTTTAGTGATAGATGAAAGTTACCACGTAAATGAAATAATTTACAATTTGTGCAACCTAAATGTTTTGGGGACCAATTTGTACCTCATATGTCGGAGGTAACAACCTAAGTGAAACAAAGTTCTTCTCGGTACCACTTGAACTTACAGTGATGATAGTGCTCCTATATAGGTCAATGTACTCGCACCTCGAAGAAGGCATAAAGACAATTAGTGTTAACGGTTTAGTAAACTGAGAATTATAGTCAGTTTCTAAAACTGACGATTGTAAATTTAGACATAGATTTAAGTAGATGTTTCTAAAACTACAACTGAAATTACGTAAATGCACAAACATTAAGACACAAATATATGAAAATGATATTTATAACAATAATCGTTAAGGCTTGTAAATGTCATACTTATTTACAACGATTGTTCAACTATGTGAAGACGCGAGTTTGAAGCATAAACAATTATATTAAGATCTACATCTCTCAAGTGTAATTATACCAGTATATTCAGCTCAACGTGTCATCAGTCCAATTATACAAGTAACTTCAGCACTACATCTCTTCAGTATAAACATATAAGCATATTTAAGCTCTACATCTCTCGAGTCCAATCATACACGTATTTTGAGCTCTACAT